TGGTTTGAGCGGTAGAGTTTTAGACGCTATTAACGAGGGTAAGGGTCTTCGTTGGTCTTGTCAAAAATGTAGATCAACCGAAGTTGATTTATTTAAATTCTTCAGGCAGTCCAGAAATGGTTTTTCTGAGATCGGGAAGGATCTGTCGGCGCTTGTTGAGAAATTTAAGCATTGCGAAAAAATGTTTAGGTCTTTCACTTGTCCCGACGACCCTCCACACTCTGAGGATAGCCGAGAAAATAAAGGTGGGCATGTTATTAGTCCACCTAAAAAGACAGCCACGGATTCTAGTAAAAAAAAAATCCTCCATCCCAGTCCTTAGAACTTATTAATTTATCTTCTCCATGCCCTCAGGCATTGGAGCCTCCGATTTCTAAAGCCATATCCACTAGGCCTACTTCAAAAAATAGTCAAACCGTTGATTTAACAGTGTTGCCATCAACATCTCAAGCTCCACTGTCTAACTTAGTTCCTCCGAATAATTCGGAGCCCCGCACATCAGACATCATTACCAAAAAGCTGGTTGTAATTCCTCCGAGAAGATCAATCTTTGTCTCTAGATTTGCTAAAGATACTTCTTCGGATGATATAAAGTTATACATATCGACTAAAATTAGAACTAAAGATGTATTTATTCGTAAATTTAATTTTAAATACGATCGCGATATTTCATCTTTTAAAATTGGTGTAGCTTCCGAAGATTTTGATTCACTACTAAATAGTTCATTTTGGCCGACCGGGGCGTTTGTTCGCGAGTTTGAGTATAAACCTAATAAAAGTAATAATAACGTAGCTAAAATTTCTAATCTTAATTCGGATTCAAAAAACTAACTCGCAAGTCTAATTTAGTATTTACTATCAAAACGTTAGAGGTTTGAATACCAAATTAACTGACTTATATTTAAAAGGTTTTGACTGCAATTATAATATTATTTCCTTGACCGAAACATGGCTCAAACCTCATATTTTTAATTCCGAAATTCTTCCAAATGAATATCAAATATACAGGAGTGACCGCGTGGGCAGAATCGGCGGTGGTGTTCTTTTTGCGGTGCATTCATCGATACCATCCGAGGAAGTTCGTCTTCCTGTCATTGAATATACCGAATTTAAATGTATAAGTGTACAGGCTGGAAAGACTTATATTTATTTAGCTCTTTGCTACATCCCTCCTAATTCTGCCGTATCGGTATATATGCAGCTAGTTTCTTTACTTGAGACCGTAAATGCAATGCTTACGGCATCCGATTCTATGATTGTTTTGGGCGATTTAAATCTGCCACATATTTCATGGAACATCATTGACACCGATGTTGTACCAGTTTCATCTAGAGATAGTTACAATGTATTTCTGGAGGAAATGGCTGAACTTTGCCTCAAACAAATAAATATATGTCCAAATAAGTTTGGAAAGGTCTTGGATCTCGTTTACGTTGATGATGTTCCGAAGGCCTCTATTAATCGGTGTGATCCCCTAGTTTTGCCGGAAGATGCATACCATCCTGCTCTTGAGTTAAGCTACGAAATCATAAATGAAATACATAATAATAAGTCAAGTTCAAGTACTAGATATGTTTTTGCGAAAGCAAATTTCAGGAAAATTAACAAAGAACTTTCAAAGTTATCTTGGCCAATATATAGAGATGACGTGGGGCGTAGCGTTGAGCACTTTAATGATACTGTTTTCAATTTGTTTCGAAAGTATGTGCCAATACGTAACATTGTTCATGAAGAACCAATACAATTATGGTTCACTAAAGAGCTTAAAAAATTGAAAAATAAAAAGTCGCACTCTTTTAAACTGTATAAAAGAACGGGCTTACACAGTGATTACCTAAGGTACTCAGGTTTGCGGCATAGCTACTTTGCATTAAATAAGAAATGTTATAATTCATATTTATGTAAAATTAAGAAGAATTTAATTAACAATCCTAAATCATTTTATGGTTTCGTAAGTTCAAAGCGTAAGGCACATGGTTTTCCGTCCGCTATGCATTATCGCAACACTGTATCTAGCGACAGCCAACTCATTGCCAACATGTTTGCTCGGTTCTTTAGGTCCAATTATTCTGTAGACTTCCCTATAAGTGGAGACTATCCGTACGAGCTTTGTCCAATCAACTCTGCTTATATTCCAGTAATATCTTCCGATGAAGTTTTACACTCTTTAAAAACCTTAAAAGCGTCATTTAGGCCTGGACCTGATCATATTCCGACCTGTTTTCTTAAAAACTGCGCTGAGAACATCTGCGAGCCTTTAACAACTCTATTCAATTTGTCACTTAAACATGGCGTTTTTCCGTCAGCCTGGAAGGAGTCTTTCATAATACCACTTCACAAAAACGGCAGCAGGTCGTCTATAGAAAACTATCGAGGCATAGCGAAACTCTCCGCTATCCCCAAATTATTCGAAGCAATTATTGTTAACCAGCTGACATATTCTATATCTTCTTCAATTACACAATCTCAACACGGGTTTTCTAAAGGAAAATCTACTATGACTAATTTATTGGAGTTTACAACTCATGTCTCAAACGGTTTTAGAGAAAATGCTCATACCGACGTAATTTACACCGATTTCAGTAAAGCTTTTGACAAAGTATGTCACTCGTTACTCATCCGTAAACTCGACCTAATCGGCTTTCAGCCCAGTCTTCTTCAATGGATCTCATCTTACCTCTCTGATAGAACACAAAGAGTTATTGTTAATAATTGTTCTTCCAACATCATTAAAGTTTCTTCAGGAGTTCCTCAGGGAAGCCACCTTGGTCCGATTCTGTTCCTGATATTCATTAATGATATTTCTTCTATAATAAAACATTCAAAAATTTTAAGGTATGCCGATGATGTGAAACTTTTTAAAACATTGTCCTCTATCGAAGAAAGGTCTTTGTTACAAGCGGATCTGAACAACGTGGTTAGTTGGTGTAATACAAACTATATGCCACTAAACCTTCAAAAATGTAAAGTTATGTGTTTCTCTCGGAGGGCTGTTCAACCAGCTGTTTATTCAATATCAAATTATAATCTGGAGCAGGTATCCAATTTTGTCGATCTTGGTATCACAATGGATTCCAAACTGAATTTCAACCATCATATTAATGTTACAGTCAATAAAGCCAAAGGCGTTTTTGCATTTGTAAGGCGATGGTCAAAAGAGTTCAAAGATCCTTATGTTACAAAAGCTCTTTTTACCAGTTTAGTTAGACCTATACTAGAATACGGATCTATTGTTTGGAGTCCCCGCTACCAAGTTCATTCAGAAAGGATTGAATCAATTCAAAAACAATTCTTGCTTTTTGCATTGCGTAATTTTAACTGGGATTCAGATTACAATCTCCCCCCTTACACTAGTCGTCTAAAGATCATAAATTTGCCTACACTCGCAAGTCGTAGAGAAACGCTGGGTATAATATTTATCGTAAAATTAATGACAGGCTTGATTAATAGCCCGGCCCTCCTGGCTGAGGTAAATTTTAATGTTCCTTCTCGAATGTCAAGACACTTTCGACCTCTATTTTTAAAGCCATGCAAAACTAATTTTGAACTAAACGAATCATTCCGTGGTTTATGTCAAGATTTTAACTGTCATTCCAGCACGTTTGACGTATCGGACTCGATTTTTAC